CGCCTGCATGGTGGTCTTTATGTGGACTCTTCAAGGGATGAACACGGAGCAATAGGCTTATGGTCTAAGACATGGGCTTCTCGTGATTCAGTGTGACTTTCTGTGGCATTGTTTAAAGTTCAGGGCCATATCATACAATGTGCGGCATTGCCATCTCAGACGCTTCGATTATGTGCCTTGACTCCAAAACACACAAACAGAGCGTTTGAAACAACTTGACTTGAGGGTTCAAGACCATTTCAACTATACGGGAATGCAGGGATCGCATTGGTAATGTAAGTCTCAAAATCTCCATCCGTCTCAGACCGACAGACATGCTCCAGAAGATGGAATGCTGACGGCAATCTAGCGTAGATGTGCCAGCAAAATGAAACTACTGAAGCCCTTCGAAATACGCCCGGCTGGCATCTAGAAACGGGCACAAGAAAATTACGTGGCTCCATGCTTGCAAAGTGGCGATTCTTGAGCTTGAAGAGCTTGTAACTCTCATCGTCTTCCTGGGTTACGTGTGACCAAAGATAATGTACGCGCCGGAAGCCCTGCCTACACAAACGGAAACTCTGTAATTCGAGATACTCGAGGGGGAGTTGCACTTTTCAAAGTAGAGCTCGGTAAATTCCGGAATCTCTTCAGGCTTCCAGCTGAGACTACTGATCACATGTTCATGCGGGGGTTCAAGACTTTGATCCTTCAGCCGAAGAAGACATGGAGGAACCTCTCTTTTGCTCCAGAGACCTGACCGACTTGCCGCAAGCACCAAGTTTGCGCTTTTTTGCGGACACTTCTGATGGGCCCCTTTATGTGTGGACTCTTGAATCCCAGAATGTCCCAGACCTATTCGCTATAGACCACAGTGTTCCCACATGTTTATCCATACCGCGCGAATCCTTAAAACACTATGGGCCATTGAGGCAGTTTCACCATGTTTCACAAGATGCCCTGCCACAGCTACAACCCTGCAAATGCTCAGGTGCGAGACATCCGGCGTTGGCCTTTCATAGGTTTTAGTAGCAAGGCATCCAAAGTATGTAATAGCTACAAGGGACAGAAAAGACTCTTGCAGAAAATCCCATTTGCGGTCCAAGCGCGAGGAGAAAGAGCCGCGATCCCACGTTGGAGCCAGTGACGAAATTCCTGAGTCATGAGGTTCAGGTTCTGTAGGCAAGGATTGCGAAGGGACTCTACTCTAGAGGGAAAGGAGTTTCACAGTTTTCCTGATATTTGGAAATCCTGCAGTGCACAAGGTATCCGTAGCCTGAAACCCCGGCAAGATCTGAGCATATGTATGCCCATCTTCGGAAACACAACGACTGAGCAGAATGCATACTTCTTCTTTAGCTGATGAGGCACGACAATTCTATCTGTAGCTGCTGAGTGAAACGATGATTTGAAGAAGACTTGTGCCTTGAATCCTGAAGCGGCCGAGGTGCAAGCGAACCCCGCCAGGCACAGCAGTGATGCCGTAGATGCTCCTAGGCGACTCTTGCCGGGAGAAAGGCAGGGTTAAGCTTTTTGCGAACCCCAACCACCTCTTCTGCTTAGCAAGCGCGACGCGGGTGTTCCTCCCTGCCTTAGAGACGGTTAAGGTTCGGGGAGATGATCAAGGTTCGAATAACCGGGACTCCAAATCCACTATCAGTCGCTGCGGATATCCTGCCCTCAGCAAGAGAATCGATGTCCTTGACTTGACATGATCTAACCCAACTCCAGGCGCATAAAACCTAAAGCGTACAAATGAAAAGTTCAGCGCCAATACCTGGCCAGCACACCTACATTCAGACTTTAGACCTACGTACGTGCGGCTCAAAATCATTCAGCCCTGCAAAGCCTGCCCTGATGAACCCCTTGTCTGGAAACTCTAGAAAGCCAAAGGGTCCAAGTATCAAAAAACTTGGGTACGCAGCATTTGCTGAATTGCAGTTGTAGTTGTGTTTTGGCGGGAATACAGGATTCTGAGAGGCACTGGGATCTGAGGGAAATCCTTCAGCCAAGAGCACTCGTACTGGCCGGCATCCACGCCCTCCAAGGCGCAACCCTGCGCGCAAGTCTCCTCCGGATTCGTGGAATTTGTAGTCGGGGTGGGTTGGGATCGTGTAGAGTCAGCCAGGATGCTCAGACATCTTGAACCCGGGCATGGCAAGGCTCGGAACATGCAGCTGGCGACCAGGGGACTTGCAAAAGGGCTATGAGAACAGAGAGCTCCAATCCCTCGCAGTCACACTTCCATCCTGACTCTCTGAACCAAAGAATGACTTCCCTTCAGCCAGAGCTCCGGATCAGTGCAGATGCTCGTGTCCCAGGTGTTGCCAGTGTAGCAGTTCTTGTACCTAAGGCCGGATGTAAGCATCAGGCACCACAAAGGTCAAATCGTTTGCTTTGCAGCTCCGAGAGTCTAAATCCATGGCTCCATAGTTTATTCAAGTCCCGCACCCGCATACTCTTAAAGCCCAGATAACTGACAATCCCTCTAACACATGTGACATGACTCCACGGTGGTCATATTCAACTCTATAAGATCAAAAGCCGGGGCGTATCACAGAGTTTGGCGTTACTGTAAAGCTCTGTTCTCAGCCGAATGTCTCGGCATTGGGTCTGTGCAACATATGTGTCGTGGTCCATCCTGAAATCAGAAGATTCTTGGAAATGCGAAGGCTTGAGAGATGTTGCTTCACCCTCCCTTGCTGACTTTGCCATGGCCTATCTAGCCTTTTCACCCTACCTGTCCCATTTCTGCAACTGGAAAGGGTTTCACCCTATCTCCCACAAAGTCCACATTCAATCCCGCAGAGGCCAGCTACGACAAAATGCTTCAGGATGCCAGCGTCCAATGTGACTGAAAACAAATACTGTAGAGCTTCAAGACGCTATCACACGTCCCGAACAGGCAGTAGAATGGGCCTTATTGGTTTGGCAAGAGACCCAAACTTTCAAGTGCGTTCTGAAGGATTCTCATGTTTTCTCATCCATCTTGCCCCAGACAGCCACTACATGAACCCATGTTGCTGAACTATCAAATTTCTCTTGCTGCCATGGTCAATATTTAAAACAAAACACGATGATGCCCTTTGTTAGATTGGCTCAGCTACCCTTCAGTGGTGTGGATCCAACGCCAGTTCGCATCCAAGACAAGCTTGTGCTCCTGTTGCAGGGTAAACATCTAGATCCTCATGGGGCTTCATTAATCATGCGATTCATCTGCAAACTTGCAAAGTTTTCCATGATGGTTCACATGTTGAAACTTAAATCTGTAGGCTTGCACGGGCTCGCACGAGGATGTCTGAAACTTTCAGATGTCTGATGGGAGAATCTCAGATTCAGTACTTCATCGTCCAAACCCCAGGCCCAGAGCCCTAGACCCCGCATGTAGCGTTGGTCATCAGCAAGGCCTTTGCCCAAAGCTCAATTCTTCGGCTCAGCCTTCCAACTTAGAAGACAGCAAGACTACTCAGTCCATAACCCTTAACAGATCAGCTCGAAATCTTGCATTAATCAGAAAGCTGCCGGTTGTTCCTTGGATGTACAGCCACCTGCTTTCGTGCATTCCTTCACCATCATCGTGGGGTTGCCTGCAAGGTGCTGACAAGCATTGAGAATTGATGAAGTCTGCTGCTTGCGCATAGTCTGGGCATGCAAACAGATATGGATGGACGCTGGACTTCCTGGATACATGCTAGCAAGTACTTGCCAGGGCAGTGACAAGTGGAACAAGCAGAAGCACCATATTTGCAGGCAAAGGTGCAGGAATAACCACTACATCATAACATACGTCTGAGCATATCACCAGCCGTAAGAAGCCGGAGAAACACAACAGCAAAGGATGTGCGCGGCAAAGATACGGAAACCAATCTCTTCACATCCCAATCATGGAAGGCCAACGATGCATCACTGGAAGATGGACCCACCGCCCAGCATTGCTATCTCAGCAGATACTTTACTGTTCTCATATAACGGGAAAAGGAGCCTCAGCACCCATTTGAATTTTCACATGCGACCAACTCAAACTAATCTAAGCCAAAGTAATAACCCAGAGATGTTGTTTGCAGAGTGCTCAAAACAGCGCACTACAGTGCGCTTCAGTGGGCTGGGGCCTTCTGACCTCAGTGTGCCAGCCTGCTGGGCAGCGCACAGCGGGAGCCTGAGGCTTCAGGTAGGCTACACAAGGAAAACAACCAGGGGAAGTATTGTGGGGTGCCGGTGTTTAGGGATGTGTTTGGGTCGACAGCGGGGCATCAAATTCGAAGGCGATTCCAAGCATCTTGTGCGCAAAGAGATTCCAGAATCTGCGCATCGGGAATCGTGGGCAGCCAGGCAAAGGCAGGGGCGTTGCATGTGTTGGCGTTTGAAGGCTATGATACCCCGGGCATTTGACCCGCGGACCCTCCATTCTGAGCTCGAACCCCTGCAGTCTTCAAAAGTGCGCTATGACGCAGCTCTGTGGTTTTGACTCCTCAGGTTAAGGCTGCCTAGAGTTGGAACAAGCGGAAGTCTGTGCCAAGAAGCAGAAGAATCAAGATGCACAAGGCCATGGCTGTGCGTCGCCGCGAGTTGAGCCTAACTTACCCTTGAGCTTCAAAATGGCTCGAGAATGCCAAGTGCTGAGGGGAAGTCGCGGGTGCTTTTTGGTCCCGTGCTGTAAGGCATACCGTTTAAGCCCTGACCTCCTGAGCACACCATGTGGATTGTCTTGTGGACTGATGATGCAAAGCCCTCTCTTGTTAGGACAAAGGGATGGTGATCTTATTTGGGATTACGAATATTTGGGGCAGGCTTCAAGGGTTTGAGGCGTGAGACACTCGCGATCACAGGGGCTATGTGTTCTCGATGATCACAGCCATGCATTTTTAACTGAGGCTGGGGACTCTTCTGGCCCATCTCTCCTAGCCGCCCCACGAGCCTCAAGAAAGTTGAGCACATAAGAAGGTCGGGCCTATATACAAGTGTAAAGCATGTCGCTCCCGCTAGGCCCATCAGGACATCCCACATGCGGGCACGACAGGTGCCTACAGCTTCGACACTGCACCGCTGGGGCTCGATGTCCTGCGCAGCGTTCGGGCAAGATGTTGGTCTTTATGCAGGCTTGTACCTCATGCATTTCAGGGTCGCCAGACTTAGAGCCTACTTCATGGTGAGAAGGCAGGGAGCGTGCATTCATTCGCCTTTCGCAGATCAGTGCAGAGCGCATCAAAGAAACAGCAACTATGCTGCAGCGCCAAAAGAAGTCAAACCCCGCCCAGTCCCGCATCAGGCGTGTCTTCCGAACGCGGTGGTGGTACTTCACCCCGGGGTCCTGTGCAGCGGGAGGTAGAGGCATCCCTAGAACACTCTTCTAGCTGGGGCCAAAATCACATAAACAGAAGTAGGCAACAAGCCTTTGAGTCTTCATCCCTGAGGTTCTAAATAGCCAAGAGCCTAAAGCCCAATCAAACTAGAAACTAGGCATCTCCAAAAGACGGCTCATAATTCTGAGAAACCTTCACGCCCCAAGCCACCCTGGTTGGCCTCGGGCCACTCCACGTTCCAAATCCTTAGCCGCTAGCGGAGCTCCGTGACTCAGCTCCAGGGCTTGGAGTTAAGGGTTCGGGATCTTAACTTACTGGTTCTCTTCGTGGAGAATAAGGGAACATCATCCCTGTAGAATCTTCCTTTATTGCCTGCGAACCCTGTTAAAGTTGAAGGGGCTCGAATCCTTAATTTTGGGGCTTCCAGCTTGAAAAGATTCGGGTTTTGGGTATGCTTGAAAGGTGTCGTCAATTCTGATACTCTTGAAGGAGGCCGGAGGCCGGAGGAGCTCCTCCAAATGCATGACCCCTTTCTCACGTTCTGGTTCCTGAGACACACTTGAAAAGAGCAAGACACCGCCATTCTCACCTTCAATGCTGATCCACGATCTTTTTTCTGTAATTGCAAGAGAGGCTACGGCTCAAAACAAGTCTTTAATGTTGAAGCGCAAGTAGCCACTACATGTTCATCCTGGGACCTGTTCTCTCACGAAATCCTCTGATAGCGGTGAATAGCAGGCAAGCTCCAAGGCCAGGGTTAGAAGTGAAGGATTGGATTTTATCGTAGAGGTGTGCAGCAGAACAATCCGTTTCAGGTCATGGTGCATCAGTAAAAGCTTTGAGCTCTGAGGCATGGGATGCTGTTGCTTGCTAGACTCACCTCCGCAACACCCGCATCCTGAATATATTCGGCTAACATTCCAAATCATGCTCTGTAGATTAGAAACCTCTTCACTCAAATGACGTCCAGCCCCCAACTCCAATGCGAGCCGATGCACTTCAGATCAAAGCTGTCGGTTCTAAAGTCGCAGTGAATGTCTTCGTTGGGCAGCGTGCCAGCTCCTCTGGGCATTTCTGGGCATTGAAGGATTCAAACGTTAAGGACCCCCAGACAGCTGGAGTTCTGAATTTGGGTACACCACTTTGGGCTGAGGATGGATTTAGTAACCGTGTACTGCTTTTAAAGCTCTGGGGTTTAACGGCTTAACGTACAATCCAGGACATGTGAACCCAAGTCCAAGTTAACTTTCGCCTGCAAAAAGCGCCTGTCATAGACACCAACGACACCAAGTGAATCACCCAGAAAACCAAGAGTCCAGAGGAGGTCTCATGCACATGAGAAACAATACAGTACCTGCTGGGGGCTTCATGGGTGATTCTAGAACCGCAGAAGTGTCTTGAACCCTAAGGACCTGAAAGGAGCACCTACATCGTGTTCCAAGTGCTATGCATTCTAGATTGCAGACCCTTTCGCCCTAGACACGGTTCTCAAACTTGACATTCCACGTAGAGTAGGGCGCAAGGGTTTTGGAAGAACCTCTCACACTGGGAGCCAGAACCGCCATGTCCTGGAACATGGAAGTCCAGCCTCAAGAGTCAGGCACTAGGCGATGCTCCAACAGAAGCTGCTGGACGTTAGTTTTGCTCGAGTCGTCCTTTAATTTGAGGTTTACTACCACGGGCTCAGCGGACTAGCTAGCCGTCTTCTTGCAGTTGGGTTCATTAATGGTGGGACTACATCCTCATTGGGGAGTGTTGGGGGCTCCCTCTTGGTTTGGGGACATCTGTCACACACTAGATGGCCTTCGACACGAACCTTATCCAGATTTTCTCTCGTGGGCTCAGGCATCTCAGAGTCAGAGCAACCTTCTTGTCGCAGGCCCAACCCCATAGTCTAAGGTCCACCCTAAACCCTAAACCCCTAAACCCTAAACCATGAAGCATTGAAATCTGGAAGCCATTCACTTTGCCCCAAAACTTTGGACACGCCAAGCCCACAGGCAATGCCGGCCAGGAACGTGATGACGGGTGACTCGTACTCAAAGCCCGACCACTCGTAGCTCTTGAGTGGGAACCTTGGGTTCCGAATGAGGTGAGGGTCAGGTACTCCCACCACAGTGAGAATCTCAGCGCAACGACCCCACAAGAAAAGGCGATGTATACTAAGATTCAGGCTCCTATGCAGACACTGCAACGCAAGGATCCTTGCTGCAAGGCACCCCCAAAATCAACAGACTGTCAGTTTCGATGCTCTTGCATTTTGAGGTTCTTGGCTTGAGGGTCTTTTGAATGGAACACAATGCTTACAGTGCAGTGCTCAACTACCAAAGTCCATGCAGATCCCTGTCTAAGTATCCCTGAAGGAAGGAAACCAGCATCTTTGAAACCTCTCATTTCAAAACTTCTGTCAGAGAGACCAGGCCCAGGTCCTCTTCGCCCGCAGTGTCACCTGCAACAGAAGCTTGCAGCAGCTGTCGCTTTGAAAGAGTTTGGGGTCAGGGTTTCGATTGGCCTTAATCGGCCTTGGGATTTCGGGTTTCGGGGGTTAGCGCTTCATGATTACAGGATGAATGGGGCACTGGGGAATCATTGGGCCTAGGAAGGGTAACATGCAACAGCTACAGCATGATTGGGAGCCGTTCGTAAAACCTTAGAAAGGGAACTACACCACCCCGCAGCATCAAGTCACAGAAGCACTGGCTGCCCCATATACACTCCTTCGTCCAGACCATAGAGTACCTGACAACCCTATAGCTGGAGAGCCATAAGCCTTTCGCACGAAAGCCACCTCGAACTCGCAGATTGCAAGCTCTAGCCGACGGCGGTTCCCAGGGCATTGGCAGCAACTAAGGAGGATCTTGAGCTCCTCTTGGGAGTTGGGATTGTCAGTTCGGGCTTGGAGTTTGGGGTGTGGGGATGTTGTCTGTAGGTGCACCTATGGGGCTGCTCAATCCTTATGCCTGTCTTCTCAAAGTTGTTCTTAAAGAGCCAGCTTGAGGCTTCCAAAGATTTGCACAAAAAAGCGTACAAGGATATGCCTAAAAGGACTAAACCTTGAAATGGCGTTTGTAGTCAGGAAGGAGCTGCCTGTGATGCCAACACGAATATCACCCAACCCTCAATCCGTTGCCATGCATCCAACACCCATGTAGCCTGATAGCCCTTCAAAATAGTTCGAACGGTGCAGATAATAACTGCTGCCTCCATTTCTCGCTACCACCATGACTTTCACTGCTAGAGGCACGAGGCCTTCAAATCTTCATCCACTTCCTCGACAAGTTCAAACCTTGGCTGCGGCCTGGTCCCTTATTGTTCGAGAGGAGAGGGCACTGAAATGACTCTTGTGTCATGGCTGTCAAAACTCGTTTCCCGCTGTTTGAAGTTCCGACTGGCATTTGGCCAAAGACAGCTTCACTCTGGACTGCGGCATGAGTGTCAAGGGCAAGCAGGGCCAGGCTTGAAATCTTCCGCTGGAGAAAAGAAAACCCGACGCAAGCCTGCAAGATTTCAGTGAGATGGTATGTTTGGATGAGGACTTCTCTGCGCTGAGGCCCATTATGAGGTGCACGTTAGCATTCCCGAGGCCAAGCCGCTGGGACTTGTCCAGCTGCCAGCCGTCGATGTCAACCGCCTCACGCCAAGTGGAGGGACTTGATTCTTGAAACTGGTGCCCTTGTGAGCCCCACTCCCCAGCATCAGACTGCCCACGACTGAGGGGTGTGTGCCCTAGATTTCAGCCTGAATCTCCGATTCTCTGGCTCTTCTATTATCCAACGCCTTGCTCCATCCTGATCCCGAAGCTCAGAGCCAAAAGCCTGACTTTGCACAACTCTTTGCATATCAACTTGTAACTAAGCCTTAGAATGCCTGAGACCACTACACCCTCAAACCGACCCTGTTTATGGCCTCCAGCACTGCCGGGGTGGACTCTGCAGCTGAGCGCTGGGCGTCGTAGCCTGGTGCAACACAAGGAAGTGAAGCTGCACAAATTCAATTCCCAAACTCCGAGACGCGCATGACAAACAACTCACCACGGTCTGCAGGGTTCCATGAAAAGGCAATGCGTGGGGAACCCTGTCGCGCAAGGCAGCAGAGAAGACAAATACGCAAGCGTTCCCGCAGGCTGGGATGGTTGGTTTGGGTTGTACAAGCCTCATTGTGCATAGGCTCCAGACTTGAGGGCTGCGGCCTGCGACCCCCAAACCTATAGCAGACTCGTCGTGTCCTGGATCTTTCTAAAGAAGTCGCGCACGTCTTAGGCTTCACCATGCAGAACTCAGGTTTCGGGCCTGACCCACCCACGCTTCACAGGCTTCCACCTGAAACATCTCCCACGAAGCCCTCAACAGAGAAAGCCTTGATGCATCGAAGTGCTGAGAACCCTCGCCTTCAATTCGGCTAGACTTGAGTGACTTGAGGTCCCGGCACAACATTATCTCTACGCTGCTCCGAAGATTGCGCTCGTCCAAATTGCACATTGTCAGCCAAGCTGCTTTGGTCCACGCGGCTTCGAGCCTCCGGAATGAGTATTGCACAAGAGCCGGGACCCTTGAACGTTTGAAGAGCTGCACCTAACTGAAGGACCAATTTTGGACCTTAAATATGAGAACCTTCTTGAGTTCGGTTGCTCGCGGGATTCTGCTGAGTCGGATTCGTAGCCCCAAAAGAAAGCCCCATAATCAGACCAGCTTGTTTTGCGGCCTTTGCGATGTAGGATTATCTAGTCCTGGAGCTCTGTCAACAAGCATAAGACTAGATAGGTTGTACATGGATATGCCAAAGTTGCAAAATCTGTTTGGGACCCTGTAGCTTCGACGGCTTGGCATGCAGGATTTGAATTTAGCCACACATATCCTACCCGAAACTTTGCGTGGCACCCCCGTACGAAACCGGGTTACTGTAGTTGGGCTGAAACCAATTTAACGCCATGTGGACGTATAGTTTACCACGTAATCTCCGAGAGCATGGTAAGTTAACCTGTTTTTCCTGAACAGGACCGCAGCCGAGACTAAGAAACACACCCAAAATCCGCAGATGTGAGTTAAGCACCAGCACCTCTGTGGTCCCGAACATGTGCCCCAGTGAAAGTGCATATGCACTTAGATGATCGTCCGGGTCTTATGTAAGCGGTTGTATACTGATATTTGGGAACATCTGTAAAGAGAGCCGTGCGCACTGGAAGACTGGCATCTCTCCGAAAAGGGATCCCCCAGTACTCCCTTGAACACGGGATATGCCGCCTTCCTAGAACCAGGCCCTTTTTTCAAGCCCTCCCAGGAAGGACAGAAACAAACAGGCCGCAAGCCTGAGCAAACTCACCATGAACCGGCCGTTGGTCATCTAAGCTGGGAAGAGAGATGACCTCGCCCAGGGCTAAGAGATTCCGGTCCAGATGTTGAATTGAAACTCGAGGCGGTTAAGTTTTGGTGTTTTGCTTGGGGCTTTACATATCCTTTTTGGGTTAGCGCTGCAAGACTGCAGGGGTCAGGGGTTTGGGATGCCTGCTGAGGCTTGAAAAGGACCAAGGATTTGTGTGAAGGACCAAGCCGAGATTAATCCTAAGAAATACTGATGTAACGTGCTTCCTCAAGACCTTCAGCCTTAATGCCTAAAACACACAACCACAGGAGGATCACTCAAGCTGCCTATGGTTTCATGTCTTGCGGGTTGTCAGAGCTCTGAATCCACCCTTCTGCAGATCATGTGAGGGGTCCGGGAGCTTTTAGCATCCAGGCTTCAACTTCGTAGACTGAAAATTCTGCCACGAATTTGCTTGATTATGGGCTTGTCCAAATAGGAGTTATCTCGTACAAGGATTGCTCCTCAGTATGTGCTTACATTTGTCAAGGTCGCGCCTCATCCTCTGACTTGGCACCCGAGTCCTCTCAGCAAGATTTCGGGGGGGCCTTTCTTCGCTGGAGCTTTGGGTTAAGGTCTCCGCTAAGAAAACTCCCAACAGCCTGAAGCTTTGACGTCGAACCGTCTACAATTGGCAATTACATGCTTGGAGCTCTAGGGACATGCATTCGCTGCAATCAAGACCTGAACTGAAAACCAGGGAGGTCTGAAGTTCTCAAGCCCCCTCGGCCTGAACTCTCAACCTGCGATCACAAGCAGAAGCCGAAATGCTTTGAGTATAGCCTTTTGGAGAACTGATGCGTGATGCGCGCACGTAGGGATAATGAGGGAACTGCACTGATCCCATGTTTCAAGCAGCACAAAAGTAAAGCGCTAGGCCGCCCTCGCCAGTCCTCATCCTCCACAATCCTTTGCTGCTCCAAACTATTCAATCAAAGCTTGAACTGTCACCCTGCGCTACCTTAAACACAATGCGATATGAGAGAGGTATCAGATCCTGTTGGGACTCGGGATGGAACAGAGGCTGAGCCAAGGTCCGCAGCAAATAGTCTCCAAACCCTGCTTGCAGCACCCTCTGTCTGAAAGCCTCTTTGTGGAAAACGATTCGTTGGCTCGTGACATGAGAGCTGGATGATGGGCGCCTCTTCCAGCCCTATTGTCACTGCACCAAATCCATGTTTGGATAGCTGCATCAGTTTCCATTGTACCTGACCAACTAGGCATGTCACCAAGATTGGCGACATTCTAGTTCTTTACGTTGTGGACGGTTGAGAATGCAGACGGCAACTTGTCCATACTATGTTCACCCAGCATCTCAAAATGCAGCGGGACTTGTTCGGGAGCTCGGACGCTGAGCTCCTGGGAACGTAGTACATGAGAGGAAAAGCTTTCAATGATGAAGAGGCTTCATCATGGTTCGTTGACTTTCCTACGGAATCATTGTATAGGGGCTGTTCTTATTATGAGACTGATCATGGATGCAATCCCCGCCTGCGGGGCTCTGCCCAAATTGTGGCTCCCACTACTTTGGGTGGTGCCCAACTGCTCTTAACACTATATGCTTATTGAAAAAACAACTACCGAAACAGATGTGACGCATCAAAGCAAGACTCACCGAGAAAGCTCAGTTCCAAGGATCCCTGTTTGTGGTCGAATGCTGCAGTTGCAAGTATTCAGCGCACTCGAGGATTTGAGAGTTCAAGGCGCAGGGTGAATGAAGGTAGAGGAGCAAGGCTGACATTCTAAATTAATAGCAGTATGAGTATCATGAGCATTGCTCCCCTATCCCTTGCTGCCTGGCTTGGTCGCCGGAAGTCCAAGGTGTCATCCGGCCAGTCGCAGGTGGCCTCACAGCATCGGGAAGAAATTCTCTGCAACGGTCTGAACAGCATTGTATCGAAGGATACCAAAAAAATGCCCACAGGATGCTGGGAGTGGACCAGTGCAACCAAATTATAGTTGCTACACGTACTTCATTAGTCACATCCCTTGGGTTGCACCATACCCTCGACCTGGGTCCCGGCCAGCTTCTCACAGACGTATCTCGCAATTCTTCAATCCCAACACACGCTGGCCGTGCTTAGAAAACGCGTGCAATCCTCCCCATGCCACTGTAGCCCCTCTACAGTCTTTGACCCCCTACGCCCATATACTCAAACATTAAACAAGCCCCGTGTCTGAATTTTGTAACCGAACATTTGTGCACCCCAAAATCTTGGCCTTAATGCTGAGGCCTCAAAGAATATCCTAACTTAACCGGTGAGGGGTGGCTCTGAATGGGTTCTAGGTTTCCTGCATAATTTGGAAGTTTACTTGCACGCATCCTCTCTATGCCGCTGCTTCCAAGTTCAAGCCAGGTAAAGGTTGAGTTGAGAAGCCTCTGCATGGCAGACCGGGGAACAAGCCTCAGGCGGACTGGCATTTCTACTTCAGGGTTTTGCAGAAAGGGAGGTGTTACGTTGTTAGGACTCGGGTCCTATGTTTTTCAGCTTACCTGGGGCTGCAGCATTTAGTTTGAAGCGCGGGGCCGAAGAAGACTGAAAGCCATGCGAGAAGCTTCTGTGACGCCTATCCTAACCTTTTCCTTACACTGCCTTACACTACCCCGCCCTTCATCCATTCGCCTTTATTCAGGCCTAGCCTAGAGGCCCAAAGCTGAAGGATCACTGTGGGGAGCTAGTTGCGGTTCACTTGCAGCACCGGAGGGCTTCAGCAGGCAAGGTGGGTTAAGCTGTTCGGGGGCAACGAAGATTGCGGCACAATCATTGCAAAGGTCTTCCTGATGATAACAAAAAGACAACGACGCAAGAGCCTGCAATATTGCAAGTGGAAAAAATGTGATCATAAGGAAAACTGCAGGCCGTGAGCAAAAACAATTCTTTGCCCCATAGGTCTTTACCCGAGCTGATATGCTTCCATGCAGAGAAGACAGGTGGTAAGCTGCGCCAGCTTGCCCCGAATCAAACCAGCGCCTCTGCATTCACCCCGGATA